GCGGCGGCCGGTGACCCGCGCAAGCCGGTGCAGGTTTGGGAGCTGGTGCCCTGCGCGCGCGGTGGTGTCGCTGGCCTGTAGGGCCTCCCGCTTCTCTCCCACGGCAGCGCTGCTCGAGCGCCTGGCACGATCTGGGGGTAGACCGCAAGTAACTCTTGCCGGTAGCTTGGCAAGATACCGCATGTATCTCCTGCGACTTGTGGGAAATCCCGACCCTCCCTGTTGGTCTTCCAGTGACCAGCTGCAGGGCAGCGTGCGGTTCCCGGGGGTGAAAGTGCTGTGCCATAGCTGCTTGCTGCTGGCAGAGCTGCGGTGGTCACGCTGCTCCCTGTTGAACTGACCGCAGCAAAAATACTCAGCTGATCCTAGTATAATCTCAGTGGCCGTTAAAGCCGTTAATATTCTCATAACCGAAAATTCAGCGTCTGAGGTTTTGCTTTATGTGTATTGCACCAACCCTTCTCTTCTCCCTTCGTTCACGCGTGTGTGCATGCACAGACTGATGTGAATAAAAACTTCATTGTGCTTCCAAAGCAAAGTTAAGCATAGATTACGGTATTACCTTAGTACATGAGAAGACCTTGCAATCACTGAAATTGTGTTGATCAATTCAGGAGTTCCTTTCTCTGTAGCATAACAGCAAATACCATAAGGGCATTCTGCTTTTGTATGTCTTTTCTTCCTGTGAATATTTACATTATTTAAAGGGCAGCAAACAGGCAGATAAGAAATATATTTTGTCAATGAGAGAGTCACTGACAAGAGATCTGACTAATCTAAAATGCTTTAGATTGCATATGTTGAAAGCAATTTTGTGCTATGTGCAAAGTTTCATTATTTGTGCATTCTTATTCAAAACCTGTCTGTAGTGTCCAGGCTCTTCTGATATCTTTTCAAAATAGTGTAGTATGGATAGAATATTTTCAGTCGGAAGGGACCTACAACGATCACCTAGTCCAACTACCTGACCAGTTCAGGGCTGACCAAGTTAAAGCACGTTATTAAGGGCAGCCTTGTCCAAATGCCTCTTAAACACTGACAGCCTTCGGGCTGCAACCACCTCTCTAGGAAGCCTGTTCCAGTGTTTGACCACCCCCTCGGTAAAGAAATGCTTCCTAAGGTCCAGTCTAAACCTCCCCTGGCTCAGCTTTGAACCATTCCCAAGCTTCCCATCACTGGATACCAGGGAGAAGAGCTCAGCACCTCCCTCTGCACGTCCCCTCCTCAGGAAGCTGTAGAGAGCAATGAGGTCGCCCCTCAGCCTCCTTCTCTCCAAACTAGACAAGCCCAGGGTCCTCAGCCGCTCCTCACAGGACATGCCTTCCAGCCCTTTCACCAGCTTTGTTGCCCTCCTCTGGACGCATTCAGGGACCTTCACATCCTTCTTAAATCGTGGGGCCCAGAACTGCACACAGTACTCAAGGTGAGGCCGCACCAACGCTGAATACAGCGGGATAATCACCTCTTTTGACCGGCTGGTTATACTGTGTTTGGTGCGCCCCAGGATGCGGTTTGCCCTCTTGGCTGCCAGGGCACACTGCTGACCCATACTGAGCCTGCTGTCGACCAGCACCCCCAGATCCCTTCC